CACCTGGCCCATTCCTGATGCCTTTTTCCTCCTGAACTAACACTCCTCCATCCCTCCAATAGACATGACTGGCCCACCTCCCTCTCTATAGACACAGCTGCTTGCTGCCATCTCTCTGGGCAGGAGCTGAAGCAGCTGATGATGATGATTTTCTTGCTCAGCACGGTGACTGCAATCACCCCCCAGGCTCCACGCGCATCCCTGCTCAGCCAGGCCTGCCTGGCCCCACCTCTGGCACCTAATGACCATCCATTACCCGCTGACACACAAAGCCTTCTCAGCCCTGCTTCTCTCCACTTCACCCTACCTCTAATTCCAACCTTGGCCAATGCACCCATCTGCCTCCGACCTATTGCCTCAACCCAGCACAGGCCAAGCGTTTTCCTCCTTCAGCTGTCCCCTAAAGAAAATCGACCCCTTGGAATAAGGGATTAAAGCTAATGTGGCCCCTAGGATCTCAATGGCACAAAGTGCCACCTCTTTGAAGACCAAACAGGGAAAAACAGAAAGATGAAATATTGATGTAAGGGGTTAAAGCAGTTTATTCACAAGCAGTCGCACAAGAAAGCGGTGTAGGGATATTTCACAACCCAAAGGAGGAGAGGGGAGCATCTTTCTCCAGCAGTGTGACCAGTCTCATGGCACAGGGTCTCCAAGCCAGGAGTGGCCTTGTGCAGCCAGATCCCAGCACCACGGCTGCAGGCAGGCACCTGCCAAGCTATCGGTCCCCGCCTGTGCTACCATAAACACCCACGGGTCATACACAAAGGCACAGCCTGGGTTAGAACAGATATACGTGGTCTAAGCACGAGATCTACCAGCCAAGCAGCTTGGACAAGAGCTGTCCCTTGAGCGTGTTGCAAATACACCAAGGAAGCACCGCAGCCCAGCTGGGAGACGGGCGAGCTGGCTATGCCGGGCCGGGTCAGATGCTTGCAAAAGCCCGAGCAGCCGTCGCACTCGCCTTAGCCCAGCCTGCCTCCTAAAAAACACATCGCTCACCGGCAGCGCCGCAGCCGACAGTCAGCTGTATGCTGCACCGGGGACGGGCAGGCAAAGAAACCGAGGCAAACGCTCCGCTGAAGATCAATTCAAGCTCCAAAACGCTGACCATAGACCAGGGCAAGTCTGAAACCAGAAAATGCTTTATTGGAAAGGTACAAAAAAACCAGTCACTGCAGCTAAATTTACAGCAATAAATTACGTTGTGGCTGTCAAGAGAAAGTAATGGACACATACACAGGGCTATTCGCCTTACAAACAGGAATCCACATTGCTTGGTATATCAATAATTTATTTTATAATAAAAAAGCAGCACAAAAATAAATATTGAAATGAAATTACTGAGTAACCACAGAGGATAGAATGAGCTGGTGATAAAAAAAAAAACCCAACTTAAAACAGAAGACTTCTATCATTAAAAAAATGAAAGCAAGTATCCACCATCTACGGAAACACCCCAGCAGACTGAAATACAGACGAAGGAAAACAAATCCACATTACAAAAGTTTTTCAGTTTTGTTTGTTTTTTTTTTTAAATAAAAACAATCATGACAATGAAGTTTAAATGATTTGAGAGAGAAAAAAAAATGCCACCTTCTCCTCCTCCCCGGGTCTGAGCCGTCCAGTGGCCCGACCGCTCCGCACTGCCGTGGCATCGCGCCTGGCCCTGCCACAGCTTGCCTCCTCACCAGCTCACCCGCCAGAGCCTCGTCCCCTCCCCAGCCGTCCCCGGAGCTGTGGTGTCACCCAGGTCTCTAAGCTTGCGCTTTGCGGTCTCCTCCGGCAGAGTTGGGCAAGAGCAGAGACGCTGACCTGCTTCAAAGGGATCTGGAGCTGCCCTGGAGGGAAAGGTTCCCCACTCCCAGCAGAGAGCACAGCAAACACGTCTACAAGAACAGAGATGTCCCTCCCAGTCCCCGCCCAAGGCTTTTGTCTCCTCCTGCCTCCCACCCAGCCCATGGTTCACACTGCGGATGGGGAGCAACCAAAGAAAGGCCAGGCCCAGGGGAGAGGACCCCAGCACTCAAATCCAGAGCCCCTGCTCCTCAGTGGGGTGGGGAGGACAAATGAAAGGGGGCAGAGAAGGGAGCCCCGGCATCCAAACTACTGCAGCAAAGAGACAAGCGAGAGGTACGGCTGCAGGGGGAGCGCTGTCGGAGCCGCCTGGGCAACTCCGCAGGCAGCAGCCAGCTCCCCACACGGCGCTCGCCCTGGGTGTCAGGCTTGCAAGTGCAGGACGGAGAGAAAAAACAAAACAAAACAAACAAAAAAAAAACAACAGAAACAAACCAAACCCCAGAGGAATGCAATGCGACAACCCCAAGCTGGAGGGCCCTCCAGGGTGGAGGGTGGAGGAGCTGGGTCTCCAACGCGGTCAACAGCTTTCGGGTCATTCCTCCCTCCACGTTACCTTGCAATTCTGATCCCTCTGTGGAAGTTTAGCCAGGACATTTCATTCCCCTCCAGGTCACCACCCAGGGAGCCCTGGACTGGCAATTTCTTTTAATAAAGATTTACAGTATCAAACTTGGAAAAAAAATTATTTTTTTTTTTTACGAAAAATCTGTACGATAAAATGTATATAATTATATATTTATATATATATTTCTCTCTCTTTAAATATTTCCACGTGGTCCTTATGGATATCCAATATGGATTACCTACCATGGCTATGGTATCAACAGCTTTAACAACACCCAGGCCTCTTGTTCTTTATCGAGTGACCAGAGATTTAAGTGCCTACCAGCACTAAACTAGCAATCACTTGGACAAGCCTTTGGCACCCTTCCAAGAACTGGAAAAAAAGGAATACTTGGCCGCAAGGGAAGTGCCACGTAAAGATATGTTTCTCAACTCTTTCCAACAGCAAGAAGACCCCACGGAACAAAGTTTGACCTCCATCCCCCTCAGTGCAACTGGTCTGATTTCCCCAGCGAGGGGGTCAAGGGCAGCCAGAGGGCGTTCCTATCTAGCCAGGAATGTTAATGGAGCTCTGGAGCTGTTTTAAAGACTGGAAGCATTTGGGCATTTTCAAGTCAACTGGCCTTTTTCATTAAAGTTTTCATTTAAAGCCCCAACAGTGCCAGGAGTCTCCATTTTGCCTGTTTTCGGAGGCACCTGTAAGGTCTGGGCAAGTTTCCAATGTCTGTGAGCTGGAGAACATGAGAGGACCAGGAAATGACAGTAACATCTTTCTCTTCCTCAGCTTCTGCTGTGGGAGTCAATAACTGGTACTGATACACAGGACATCGATCTGCCTGTTCGGAGATAGGGAGGGAGTGGAGGAGAAATGAGGTAACGCTAAGTGTCATCCAAACTCTACGTGTTGGAAAATCACTTGAAGGAAACTCCCTGCTCCCCTCCATAACACGTGGATCTGGCAGGGGTAACGAGCCTTCAGGAAGCGTTTCACTTACACCCTTTCTGGCTCAGTAAGGTCACGGATGTCAATGTTGAGGACTGAATGAGAACCAACTCTGAGGTTTCTCTTTTCATTAACCTATTTCACAAAGGACCCTCCTGGGAAATCCAGAGACTCCGATGACAAGGTGAAAAAAAAAAGAAAAAGCAAGCTAACAACTTCTTCCAAAGACAAGTAGGGCTTCGCTAAATTTCTACAAACTTACTGCCATTCAAGGCAAGACAAAGCCTCAGACAACAAATTAACTGGGTGTCAGATGCCAGTTCACTGTCCCCTTTGCAACAACGGTGGCACTTGATTATTCTCTGTCAGTCCAAAACACTCATAAATTCTCCATGATCCTTGTTTTCTATTCTGGAGCCCAAATCCCCTAAGCTCTTCTCCTCATCTTAAACTTCAGCAATCTCATTCTCTTCTCACCTGCATGACAACAGGCATCGTCCATTCCACAAGTCTCTGACCTGCCCTGCAAAACTCACAGTCCCTTTTCTTTCCTACTTCAAAAAGAAAAAAAAAACAACACAACAACAAAACACACAAACACCAACATAGCTATTTTTTTTTTTTTTTTTTTTTTTACAGTGACCTGGAAACATTTGTCTTTTCAGCGCTGCTGCGCAACAGCAGAATCTCTCCTTTCAGCTTCCCGCCTCCTGCCCGCTGCCAAGCCAGAAATCCCTCTCCCAAACCATCACTCAGAGCCATACGAACGACTTCTCAATCCCAATTCTTCCATCCCCTACACACACCCCGACTCACCATCCTGCCCTCCATGCACCTCTCGGGATAATTCACCTATTCCCAAGAGAAAGCGTCAAGTTTCAGGGTCACATTCACACAGGTTGACTGAACACCGAGGGTTCTACTCTGTACTCTTTGGATCCCAACTTCAGCGCCTGACATGCTATGGAGAGGAAAAGACTCTTCCAGCTCCCATCCGCCCTCCCCATAGCCCTTCTCTGGTCATCAACGACTGGTGAGCCCAGCTCTCCAGCTGGGATGTTCACTGCTAACCTACCAATGCTTTTGTCAAGGAGGAGGCTCTATAACTTCTCTCCTCCCGTCTGAACACTATCGCCCTCTTGTTAACACTTCAGTGCTTTAAAAACATCTTTCCAAAATACTCTGCACAAACCCCTTCTCATAGTGCTGATCCCAGCAGAACTGTCCCACCTTCTCGCAGCCAGTTCTGCCTCCACCTGGTAATACTTGCAGCATTTTTCCTCCTCATCTCCCCTTCTCCTCCCCATCACACAGCTCTTCACAGCATTTACTGTGCCTCCTTCCCTTCAGCTTCAGGGAATCCAGAAAAAAAAAAAAAAAAAAAAAAAAAAAAAGCCGCTACTTCAAGACTGCAGATCATTTGGAAGAAATAAACTGCATAAATATACCCAATTCACAGGCACACCTTAGGGAAGGAGCTATCGGGAAACTTGGGCTTGGAATACAGGAGGCTGCAATGTAGTTTTTATAGGCCACACAGGTAATGGGGCATATTAAAATATGTAAAATATATATTTTTCCATATTTTAACAGCATGGATTTAAAACAAAAGGTTATTCCTAATGGGTGTGGTCAGACCCAAGCATTAGTCTCCATCATCCTCCCGCTCCCACCCACTCATAGCAGGACGAAATCTAATCCAAAAAGCCTATATCCCTGCCCTCATGATATTAGATGGAAGTGGGGAAGGGAGGGGAGACCCTTCTTACAGGGAGTAGGATGCCACTAAAGGAAACTCTTTTTCCCATACATTCATCTCACATGATGATTTCTACGGTCCATCTGTTTCCTGGCTCTTGAGCATCATTCACGAAGGCTCCGGAGGCTCCTCAAGTATCTTCTCCCAGCTGGAAAACTGCCCACGGCTGAGAGGGGTTTGGGGAGGCAGGGGGAAGGAGGAAGCAGATCTTGCAATTTGTACTGCATACAGAGCTCAAATCCTGGACACGAGAGGTTGATGGAGCCACCAAGTCCAGATAGAAGCAGCCAGTTAAGTTCCCTTTGTAGGTTTGGGGGTTTTTTTTCTTTTCTTATTTTTTTTTTTCACTCTATTTTTTGCACTTTTGGAAGAGAATTGTTAAAATGCCAATTCTTGACATGACCAAGGACTCCGGAACAATGCATAAGAGCCTTTTCCCCTCCCCTCTGAAAGGCTGCTAGTTCCCCCCACCGAGGGCACTAGGACGCTGCTGAAAACGGCACAGAACTGGATGAGATTTCGGCTGATTTCACAATGGTGATGACACTGGTGGTGGCAACTTTGGTCGGGGTAATAGGCCCTCGCGCCACAGTACGAGCAAAGGTCTGGAGTGCTTCGTACTTGGAGCGCAAGGCGTCCAGCTCTAGCTTCATGCTGCTGTTTTCTCTGGCCAGCTTCTCCACCTCTTGCTGCAGCTCAACCCGCTGCCTCTCTAGCTCCTCTTTCTGAGTCACACGCTTGATGCGGCAGCTGGCAGCGTAGCCCCGGTTCTTCAGCGTGCGCCTCCGCTGCTTCAGACGGATGACCTCCTCTTTGGTGAGACCCCTCAGGTGCTGGTTCAGCTCCCGTACGGACATTGACACGAGTTCATCATCACTCAGCACTGGGGCATTCTCTCCTGACTCCTCCTTTACCTGCAAATACCAACAGCACAGGGATAGCAGCAGCCCTTTATGTGAACGGCTGTTCTGGACAGTGAAGAGAGACAGGCCACCCCTCAGCAGCGTGACACCCCTACCTGGAAAACACCCACGAAGCACTGCAGTGAGCGCACGTGCCACTAAAACATCTGGATAAAACATAGCGGAGACCTGAGCACTGCTGTTGCCTGGGTTTGGGTAACCGTCTTAAGTCGGAGAAAGCAGTGAGCCTTATGCACCCAGCATGAACTGAACAGTAACGTTTTTAAGGAAATAAATGTGGAGCAGATTGAAGCCCTTTGCGTTCCTTTGTCAGGACCCGGAATTCATACCAAATGCTAAAGATGACACCTTTTCCCAGCATTATGCTGGGACACCGGGGAAGCATCCCAAAAGCAGAATAGCCACTTGTATACAGGGCTTAATTCAGCATTTTGTGGCTTTTCATTGAAGGCTGCTCATCCAAGCAGCAAACAAAACCAACCCTGCTCGGCTTCAAGGACCACAGCCTGATTTGGTTTTCCTGGTACAGAGGTCAGACTCTGAAGTTACATGAGAAAGATACGAAGGCCTTGTGCCTTTTTCTCAAGCAGGTTTGCTGCCACAATTATTTTCAGAATCATAGCATCATTTAGGTTGGAAAAGACCTTTAAGATCACCGAGTCCAGAACCTTTAAGACATCATCCTTTTGTCTCTTCAGAGACTGCAGGACATCTGGAACGAAGAGCTGAGACACCAGAAAGAAACTGTGACAATGCATGCACAACCTGTGCGCAGACCGCCACTGAGCCAGTATGTCCGAGGCATTTACTGTCTCATGGATCTGAGAGAGACCAGCTGAACACGTCCTTTCCCCAGTGCCTCCCAGCTGTGAGAATAGATGTACTTCATTAGCAGGCCTAGGAGCACTGGTTTCAGGATGCTGCCAACACCTGCCATAGTCACAAGTCTCTTGGATAGCAACTGGGATACTCTAGCCTCCACGCCATCCCAGAGACTTCAGACTTCTTTCTGGGTATCGTTGGTCATCTTCTACCCTAACCTTTCCTATAGATAGTGGGAAATTGCATCAGCACCCGTTTGCAAGAGTCTCTCAGAAAGAAAAAGAACAGTCACATACGACTGACGTTGCACGGAACATGGTTCTGCAATAGTCCCCCCTGCCACCCCGCATCGCCCACTCAGCCTTCTTCCCTACCTTTAATGCCTTGTTCGGTTTGGGATTAGTCGTCATAACCTGAGCACAGTCTTCCGGACAAAACCGCTCAGAAATTGCAACTGGAAAAACAAAACCCAAGATTTTCAGGTTACAGTAATCTCAGAGATGAAGACAGGAAGAAGATACCCAATGCACAGTCCAAACCCCCAACTCAACCACCATTGAAAGAAATAACCACACAGTTGTTTAAAACACCGTGATGGACTCGGGAGATCAGTTTACCCCATTCAGATACAAGAAAGAGAAATTTGCGTTAAGTGCATTGCTTTTTAACACTAAAGATCTCGTATGTTGCCATTAACTATGCTAAGATTAAGCAACGAAGACGGGGCAGGGAGGGGGGAAAGGATACCAGCTCCCGCCTGTAAACAACAGTTACGCTAAGCGCCGTACCCCGCCTCGCAACAGGCCACCCCTTCTCGCAGGGAGCGCCGAGTGTGGCCTCCCAGGCCCAGTCACTCGCTCACCTCCCTCCGGAGGAATCCCAGACACTCAGAATGGCCTATTAGGGACTGAATTAAGAGTTACCGCCACTCATAAAAGGCACTGGAAAGCCACAAGACAACAACTCCCTTCATTCTTATTTTGATTATTATTAACCCGGCTCGAAATTGAATCAGCAACCCAGAAGGAAGCTGCCTGGTTTGTAACCTGCTTTCGGTGCCGTCCCCACCCAAAGGAGACGCTACCAGAAAACCCAAACAACAGAAACAAAAGGCCCCCCCCGCCCC